TGACAAATGTTTGGCGATGCGTGTTTGTGAGGGACTGCGACCGTCGATGCCTGATTCTGCGCCAGAGGAATACAAGAGACTTGCCGAGTGGTGTTGTGATGCTGATCCTGATAAGCGTCCTGATGCATATACAGTTTACTGGGATATTAAAAGTCTTATTAAAGATGTGGAAATGGATAAATCTGGTAACAACGTGTGGAATGCCGTTTATCATACTGATGTAAAGTCATTATCACGTCTCGAGAAGGAGTGTAAATACTCTAGTAAACTCTTACCTACTGGAGATTTGCCTATACCAAAAAATAGCTATGATTTGGATTCAGCTGCAGGTATGTTATGCATTGGTACAAATAAAGTCATCTTACAATATTGCAATATTAACACTTCCGTTTCTAATAATTTAGCAACTCAAACTCTTTTTGAATAAACTCGCAATTACGGTTTATTGCAGTTTATTATTAGATAAATTTTATCAAAGGTTCGAATTATTCAATGTGCTTCTACATATGTCAATATGAATGAGTTAACAAGAGCTGAAATAAAGTCTATCATTAGCTGCCTTTTTCGGGCATAATATTAGAAATATAAGAAAATTACTAATTAAAAATAAACGTTGTGAACCAATTATTTACAGTTTATAAATAAATACGTAGCCATGTTTGCCTGGACAGTGAAACTTCAGCACCGGCCGGATGATGCGTCGGCTAATAATGTAATGCTACTGAATAGTGCTATTTATGCAAGACTTCGATAGACGCGGTAGTGTAGTGCAATTTATGCCTAGAATGCAGATAGGGACTCAGGGAATGCGAAATATGACAATCTTGTAATGATTAAATCTTAGTTTGTTCTACTACTACTGCTTACTGATAAAATACGCGAGCGACGAACTCATATTTCTCAAGAGCTATTGTCATTCTCTTTTTGTGGAAATTTGAGCCTTCACCGAATGGACAACCTATCAGTTGCTGCGTGTGTGCAGTATACTGCTTTAAATTTATATTACACTACAATCAAAAATTTACGTACGTACGTACGTAATTGATTAATCTTAGACAAGATGGCGGTTTTTATGATTTTGACAATAGTAGTAATTATAAGTGTGTAGTGTGCCGCCCGATTTCATCGGTCGGCCTTTAGATTTTTATCATTGGATAATTTAAGTTAGAACGCATTTCACAATTTGAAAATCGAGCAAACCTTTTTTCAAACCTTCTCTCGCTTTTCCCCATCGTTATTTATGACCATACTTATATAAGCCACTTTTAGGTCGATCTTTAACCATAAATAGCGGGAATTTGGTCGATGAAATGAATAGTAAGATCAGTGCCCAAATAGGGGTCAGAATCATCCATAAAGGGTCAAGTAGTACTAGAAAAGAAATCTAACATAATAATAACACATGTAGGGAGTTCGATCATATTACAGAGAACTCTCCCTAATACTAAATGCACGCCTTGGGACCATAAATCTGAGTGCGTGCATTTAGGAGAGTATAGTAAATTCTGGTACTTTATTCATTTATTGGTTAAAATATTGATCTATGCTTGATTGTCGCATCGTATTAGCTTTTTTCTCCCTAATATATCTCTCAAAAATATTCGCCATTTTTATGTGTTCACTTGCATTTTCTTGTTGTAGTAAAAATGCTGTAATGCCATACTGGCACTGTTAGCTGCCATTTCAGTGCTGTCATCTACATCTTCCAAACTATTACTGCATTCTGCTATTTTGAATATATCATCACTAGGCACTTCATAACAATGTCTTCCTCAGGAATTAACAAAAACTCTTCAACTCCCATTGACTCAGAATTTCAAAGACTTCACAAAGTTCATCGGATATAGCATTTTCGGCTGTATGGACGTGATCTGAGAGACTTTTTAAGTCAGCATTAATACCAACGGGAAGAATGTTGGTATGACACCAACAGTTACGAATTGTTTCTGCTGTGATTTCTTTCCATGCTTTAATAATGTATTGGAGGGCCTGAAGAACGTTCATTTTTAAATGTTCTATTTGCTGTCCGGCTTCAACCTGTTCTAACATCCACCTAAATATTAAAAAAGTTAATATCTTCTTACACGTAAACCAAAAGAAAAAATGACAATAAGATCTTACGCGTTTGATAACGGCGATAATGTCGTTTAAATGCCATTATTAATTATGACATTGGCTGAATCTTTTGCAGTTGTATTTGGTGGAAGGAAGTGGACATCAATGTGATGAAGCATTAAACCTTCCAACCTATGGCTTGGACAATTATCGATAAGCAACAGAACGCGATTATCACCATGTTTTTTAGTAACCTCCCTATCGAAGTACTGTAACCATTCTTGAAAGAGAGATGTAAGCATCCAAGCCTTTGTATTATTTCGATATATTATTGGCAAATTACGAATATTGACGTGTTTAAAGCATCGTGGATTTGCATATTTGCCAATTACTGTACAAGTGGATTTAGCTTATGCGATCCATCAGCGTTTGCACAAAGCGCAATTGAAAGTCGCTCTTTATCTTTCTTGCGATCTGCAAGACGCCTTGCTGGTCTGGCTCCAGTCTAAAGAGTAAATTTAGTATGGGATTTTACATTAAATATTTTATCACATAATTACTATATTTACCGATAGAAAAGACCAGTCTCGTCCATGTTGTAAATACGTTCGGGAGGATAATTAATGCATAGGTCATGCAATTGTTATTGTGGCAGGGCCTCGACAACGACATTAAAATTGACTGATGCTCCTTCTCCTTGAAGCTTTATTTGATGAATGTTGTTTCGAATTTTGAATTTTTGGAGTCACCCTACGGAAAGTTTAATGCACCTTCTACTTCAGGAACTCCCAGTCCGTTCGCTAATGTTTTGGCCCGCTTGATTAGAATAGCATTACTTAATATTGTTTGATGCTGACGCATTAAGACAAATTCCTTAAGAGCTTGTCCAAGCTCTGGATATGTGACTGATCTGTGTCTTTTTGCGTTTGGAACAATAATTTCCCCCTCAGAAAGTAACTGGTTGCTTCTTTGCAAAATTCGTGTTATGGTAGACTTATTAACCCTGACTTGCCATTTATTTTCGATCCAATTAACATACTCCGCACGAGATTTCAATTATCGCGAGCATACAAACAAAGTTCGTATTTTTGCAAGTTGTCTTACTTTTTGGCTCGTTTTTATTAACGGTAAAAGTTCAGTACAATCTAACTAACAATCAGTTATAACCTTAAATAGAGGCTAACTGTTACAATCGTAAATTATTATAGAATATGTTCTGACTATTGATGTCTAAATAAATACATGACCTGATGTTAACAATGTTACTACAGAACTGTATTCTCACTTGCGTTATGCATTTAGGGAGAGTGCATTTAGGGAGTGTCACACATTGCACACACATATTAGTCGACTACATTTTGTGTTACGTTTTTCATCGGACTTTCTTAACGATGTCTCAAGTATCTAATAACTCTTCCAAAGAATGGCTAGACGCAAGCGTTCAAGAAGGCTTAATCTACTGTTGTCGAGACAATGACATCAAAATAGACTCTCTACATATTGGCCAAGGAGCATTTGGAGTGGTGTATAAGGCAACGATAAAGAAGAAGAGCGGTATTGGAAGCATTGCTAAGTCAATCCTAGGCAGAAAGCCCAACATTCTCTCCGGCATGACTGTTGCGGTGAAGACTTTGTTTCCGGCCAAACATGGAGGTTGCGAGGAAGACTTGCATCGACGATTCGTCAAAGAGGTTACTATTGCCCTCCGCCATGTTTGTCGCATTTATATTTCTATGAGTAACCCTTGACATTCATGCTTTATTTAGCTGAAAAATCACAACGGAGCGAAAGATCATCCCAACATTATTCAGTTTTTAGGTCTATACAAGGGTATGTTTGTAAACGATAATTTGATTGTCTTATAACAATATAATTCTATATTAATATAATTTATGAATGTAGACAAATTTGATAAATATCATATGATTTTTGAACTGGCTGACGGTGGAAGTCTGCGCGAACACTTAGAGAAATGCTTTGATGATTTGACTTGGAAAGACAAATACAAGTTGGCCTTAGAAATTACCAATGGATTGAAGTATTTGCATGAACTGCACATTATTCACAAGGATTTGGTATATATCAGATATTAATCGGGTCTTCCGAATTCGTACCACTCACGAAGTTTAGCTAATTGACTGTTTGTATATAATAATACATAGTCTTCTAGTAATATTCTTATTAAATCAGGAGTTGCAAAGATTACTGATTTTGGCTTGTCAAGCGTCTTGAAACAAGCAATGTCCAAATCACACGGTGATGGCGCTCCAGCATACAAGGATCCGGCATCTTTGAGGAACAGTTCATATAAGCGCGGAAAGAAATCCGATATGTTTAGCCTTGGTGTAATATTGTGGGAAATATCTAGTGGAAAAGTCCCATGCGGAGAACATATTGAAGTTGCTAATATTATTGTCTACAGACTTAATGGCTCTCGTGATCTTCCATTTCCCGGAACACCTAAAGAGTATGTTAATCTTTACTCAGAATGTTGGGATGAAGACCCTAATCAGCGACCATGTTGTGAGACTGTTTATAAGAGACTGACTTATTGTGATAAATTGAATAATCTTAATGAATCATTGGAGATTGAGCCAAATGATGTGGTTGCATTGAGTAGAAGGGGAGATGTCTATAAATTACTAGGCCAATATGACAAGGCATTAATTGATCTCAACAAATCATTGGAGACTGAACCAAATGATGCATGGGCATTGAGTATAAGGGGAGATGTCTATAATTTACTAGACCAATATGACAAGGCATTAATAGATCTCAACAAATCATTGGAGATTGAACCAAATAATGCATGGACATTGAAAGTAAGAGGAGATGTTTATAAATTACTAGACCAATATGACAAGGCATTAATTGATCTCAACAAATCACTAGAGATTGAGCCAAATAATGCATATGCATTGATATTGAGGGCAAGGGGAGATGTCTATAAATTATTAGGCCAATATGACAAGGCATTAATAAATCTCAACAAATCATTAGAGATTGAACCAGATAATGCATTTGCATTGAAAAGAAGGGGAGAGGTCTATGAATTACTAGGCCAATATGACAAGGCATTAATTGATCTCAACAAATCATTGGATATTAAACCAAATGATGCAGGTGCATTGAGTATAAGGGGAGAGGTCTATAAATTACTAAAACAATATGACAAGGCATTAATAGATCTCAACAAATCATTGGATATTAAACCAAATGATGCAGGTGCACTGAGTATAAGGGGAGATGTCTATAGATTACTAAAACAATATGACAAGGCATTAATTGATCTCAACAAATTATTGAAGATTGAACCAAATGATGCATGGACATTGAAAGTAAGAGGAGATGTCTATAAATTACTAGACCAATATGACAATGCATTAATAGATCTCAACAAATTACTAGAGATTGAGCCAAATAATGCATGTGCATTGAGGGCAAGGGGAGATGTCTATAAATTATTAGACCAATATGACAAGGCATTAATAGATCTCAACAAATCATTAGAGATTAAACCAAATAGTGCATTTGCAGTGAAAAGAAGGGGAGAGGTCTATAAATTACTAGGCCAATATGACAAGGCATTAATTGATCTCAACAAATCATTGGATATTAAACCAAATGATGCAGGTGCATTGAGTATAAGGGGAGGTGTTTATAAATTACTAGACCAATATGACAATGCATTAATAGATCTCAACAAATCATTGGATATTAAACCAAATGATGCAGGTGCATTGAGTAGAAGGGGAGATGTCTATAGATTATTAAAACAACATGACAATGCATTGAATGATGTTAACAAAGCATTGGAGATTAAACCAAATAGTGCATTTGCATTGAAAATAAGGGGAGAGGTCTATAAATTACTAGACCATTATGACAAAGCATTAATAGATCTCAACAAATCACTAGAGATTGAGCCAAATAATGCATATGCATTGAGGGCAAGGGGAGATGTTTATAAATTACTAGACCAATATGACAATGCATTAATTGATCTCAACAAATCATTGGAAATTGAACCAAATAATGCAGATGCATTGAGTATAAGGGGAGATGTCTATAAATTACTAAAACAACATGACAATACATTAATAGATCTCAACAAATCACTAGAGATTAAACCAAATAATGCATTTGCATTGATTATTAGGGGAGAGGTCTATAAATTACTAGACCATTATGACAAGGCATTAATAGATCTCAACAAATCATTGGAAATTGAACCAAATAATGCATTTGCATTGAAAATAAGGGCTAACACTTATTGTATACTTGAACAGTATGACAATGCATTGAATGATGTTAACAAAGCATTGGAAATTGAACAAAATAATGCAAATGCATTGGCTATAAGAGGAGACATCTACAATGAGCTCAAACAGTATGATCATGCATTAAGTGACCTTAATAAAGCATTGGAGCTTGAACCAGGCAATGGATTTGCATTGTGTGTGAGAGGATATATCTATTGTAATCTTAAACAATATGGCAATGCATTAAGTGATCTCAACAAGTCATTGGATATTGAACCTAATGATAAAGAGACATTAATGTACAGGGGTAAGACATATTACATGCTCAAGCAGTACAATAATGCATTACTTGATCTAAACAAGTCATTGGAGATTGATCATAATCTAGTCAATGCATTGACAATAAGGGGAAATGTCTACCTTGATCAAGGGCAATATGGCCATTCATTGAATGATCTCAACAAATCATTAGAGATCAAACCAAATAATGCACATGCATTGAGAATACGAGGTGCTCTCTATTTGAATCTTGGAGAATATCATATTGCATTAGCTGATCTCAACGAGTCATTGAAGGTGGAACCAAATGATGCAGATGCACTGAGACTAAGAGGTCAGGTTTATGAGATGCTTGAACAACATGCTATAAGAGATGCACAGGTATTTTGAAATATTATGACAGTTTGCTGTGCTGTATAAATCTATTATACTAAAGTTGATTTTTATTTTTGTGTCTGTATATATACCGGCATGCTGAACTATTACTATAGGAAGTGGAACAATTATAATTTACATGGATAAAAAACATCACACACCCAAAATTATTAATTGCACAAAAACGTACATAGTAATTTAAATTATGTCTCAAATTTAACATATCATATTCAATATAAATTAATATTTAGTAGACCAAAATATACACGTTTATTAGAAAATATGTCTGTAAGCGTAATATTAATATGAGAAATAAACGTCCACCATACGGTTAACTGTCACGGGAGAACGGGTGGCTATCGGTTAATGATTAGCTACGATTCGATAATCTGTGGCTTCCCTAATTTATCGCAGATTAAGATTATGTCACTAGTATAATATACAAATGGTCGACGCGTCTAGTAATCTTTGTAAGAAAAAACAAACTGTTGTAAGCTCTAATTGAATTCGACGTGCACAATAACGGCTTCAAACAGCCACATTGTCGATTGTCTTAACCACAATCCATATAGTGACTTTTGATGTACTGATGTCGCCCGAAACGCCACCAATATCTGCTAGACATCAATCGAAATCGTCAAATGCCAAGATACGGGTAAACTTTGATCGATATTGAATCTCACAGGTGAACTATTTGTAGGAAATAATAAAAGACATACATAATATTATAGCACGACAACACTTGCATTATAAAAACTGACATTACATTATTGCTGATTGGCAAATTTACGTGCATACGCGTGCCCGTGCAGCATACGGAGAGTGTGCACTTATGGAGGTGCGACTGTATTAAGGTGTGATAAATACTATAGGGCACTAATAAAAGACTCCGGGTACTTTACATTTTACCTTTTTTTGGGAAATACAGTTACTCGGTGAGATCTTAGTATACCCGTCCCATAGTGTTCATGTAACACATACTAATAAAAACCGTGTGTTACTGTACATAACTTTTCTTCACCGTTGCAATACTGTAACTCATGATGGTTTGCGCTAACAAACTACGAGACGTTTCCGCGTCACTAAGTAAGGACGCAGAAATGCTCAGCAAGAGGAAAACTTATTGTTATGTATTACTACGTGGGTTGGTTGAAAAGTTCTGATCGTGAACAATTATCTCAACAACTACCCAATATATTCAAAAACAAGAACTATGGTTGCAAGCCCGAGGTTTTAGTAAACAGCTGAAAAAAAGCTGGCCTGAATTGACCTGGTAATTGTCGAGTTATGTACGTTCGTTGACGATACCCTAAACCAATTGGAAAATAGTCGCAATTAGAAAGAATGGTAATTT